TGATCTTATAATTAAATATTTTAATGATAATTATAGATACTTAGTATACTAATATTATTTTAATAATTGATTTATCGTAATGCATTTTATTTTATCATAATACTGTATTTATCTGATTTAAGAAAACCAACATTTATCAAAGCAATGACATTTAGGTAAAAATTAGGATAGTAAATGTCATCAAATATGTATGGTTAAATCTTTAACTACATTATCACATCACTAAGCAATATTAATCATCGATAAGATGCTTTATGAATATCCAACCCAAAATGTCAAAAGCGTTTAGTCTAAACTCAGTTTTTAGTTGTTGCACATTAAATTATTTACGCATTTTGTATTGTTAATTTTTCTGCTCTCTTGTGTAGCCATCAATATTAGGACAGCAATTGAATTTCACAACATTTTTATAACGGTAAGAAATATTGATTTAATTTAGGTAGGTGTTTTCGTTAGCACATAGTAATATAATCTGTTTTGTAAAAAAAAAAGTTATTAAGACTTATTCTTAAAAAATTTGCCTGGTATCACAGAAGTTTATAATTGTTGGTTATTAGGTATAAAATATAATATTTATTTTAAATGTGTCAATTAGTTTGGAACAAAAAAATGTAAACTTTTGTATTTTATGTGGATTCTATTTTTAAGAAATTTGCAGTACTTTTGTCCATCGCCGACATGAAATGTTTTATTATTTTAAGTTCCAAGCCACAATTGCCAATAAGTGTATTGAATTTATAAAATATATATAAATATTTGTAGAACTCCTAGATCTGCACTCTGCACTCGGGCTATGATAATTTCAATCATCCCTGAGTCAACTGATCAACTTGATTTTAATTTTGAAAACATTTGATTTCCTTATTCATTCGAGATATAAATTAAATTATTAACTATGCTACTATTTATTCTAAAGAATGTAATATTTTTATTTACTTTTACTTGAAAGATTTCTAACGGTACCTATACACAAAATATCATAGTACAACAGACGGAGGAAGGAAGATTAACTTTACACGGCACGGTGGCCAGGCTTAGACACACAAATATCACACAAACAAAAATAAAGACAGATTTTATTACTTCCATAAAAGCTTTTCTCGATCTTTTATAAATTGTTTTAACTAACCTATTGATATTATAAAAATTCATATCACATTCTGAATTTATCTTGAAATTATCTTCAATACGGCTTTCTTACACTTAGGTAACATTTTTTCAATTCAACATCATCAAAATTTAAAAACCCACCTAATTTTAAAGCGTTAAAAAATTAAATTGAAAAAAGTTGAAGTCATACCATGACTAGAGTCTGGGATAGTCAGTAATGTTGGCCTATGATAAGTAGAAAAACAGAGTTGATCGAATTAACTTAATTCGGTATATTCAAGTTTTGGTATTTTTCGTAATGCTATGTAATTAAAATTATAAATCTTTAAGTATACTCGTACGTATACAGTACACTTGAGTTTTTGATTTTTACTTAAAGAATGAATTTAGTTTTAAGTTGTTGTTTTAAATAAATAAATTTGATTTTTACAATCTCTTCGTTTTGTTTTAGGCTAGATAACAACGAATGTCGTGTCCTCACTCTTCTTCTCGGTGACTTGGGCAGAGAGTCTATCTTATTAATTCTATTAAATTAAAATGAAAACATCCAATTCAACATTATAAATAATAATAAGTCAACTTTTCATTTCAAATTTTTGATGAATCTTTTAGGAGGTACTAATTTTGAGTTAGGGGGTGCTTAGGGGATGCTTAGGGGGTGCCGCCCCCCTAGTTGAGCCAATTCAGTAAGTGGCAATGAATAAATTGAATTTACATTTAAGTGTTTTTAAATTATTTCTGTATACCCTTTTTTTGTAGAAAAAATGCATGGTATTTCAATTTTTAGGTTGGTTTAAGTAATCAAAATTTTTCTTTTAAGTACCCAGGGTGGTAGGAATTAAAATGCCCATTATTTTTGAAAATAAACAGAAATAATGAAATAATTAATGTTACAAAATTAATTTGTTTTTGTTTCACTTAAAATTCGAATAAGTATAGCAACGGAAACAATTATTTAAACAAAATTGCGTAACATTGCAATCAAACAATTCTATTTTTTATTAGACAGTCACAACCACATAACATTATATACTTAGTAATCTTAAAAAATGTATAATATACTATATACACCAATAACTAATACTTCGCCAAAAATAAAAAAGTTGATTTTTATGATAAATAAATATTATTATTACGATTTCTTCGTTTTGTTTTAGCTTACAAACAGTATGTCTTCTTCTCAGTCTTCTTTTAAGCCTTCTTCTTCTCAGTCTTCTTTTAAGTCTGCTTCATCTAAGTCTTCTTCGCAGTCTTCTTCGAAAGATCGAAAACGGTCATCAAATGATCCTCCAAACGCAGTAAACAAATGTCAGTGGGATCATACATACTGCAAAGTTAAAAATACGCCGACTGCGATTGTCTTACCCACACAACTCCCTTATGTCCATAAGAAGTTTCCTAAATGTTTCTTTTAAAACTATTTCCTTTATTTTATTATTATGTAATGTCAATTATTGTACTTTAACACAATTTTTTGATTTTCAAATATATTAATATTTGTACTACCTATATTATACCTATAAATAATAACCACTATAATTATACGTTACGTATGTAATAATTTATGTCACTCAAATCTCAATTTACACAACATGACTTATTTTATGTATTTTTATTATCTTATCTTTTGTATAAACATTCGTTGATGGCATTGGTGTCATTTTGAATTTAATATAGTATGTATATAATTTAGTGTTCTTATTGTAAATTACATTATTTTCATTGATTACAAAAAGGTTCTTCAATGTGTATTTTATATGTTATTAATTACAATTATCTAGACTTCTAACTACGTGCTTTCTGCTCAAACTTCTTTTTCCTCTAAGGACCCTCAAAACGAGTGTCTAGGGCCGTATTTAGGGGGGGGGGTTGCTGTTGCACCCGGGTGACTGATTATGAAGGGGCTGTAAAAATGTCAAGCTTTTAAATAGTAATACATTTTTATTTGGTATTACATAAAAGGCATTTTTTTGTTGTTGCCCCAAAGTGGGAAATCCTAAATAAAGCCCAGTATATTTTAGTGAGATCACACATACCCCAGTCCAACTGTGTCTTAACATCATTTATAGAGTATAAGAATAATATTATAAAATATAATATAATTATAATAAGATCTAAATTGAACGAGAAAAAAAATCAACTATAATTTACAAACACGATTTTACGGTGCACTTTTTTGTGTTAAATTTAAGTATATAAATAAAAATGTATATTAAAATCAGGTGCGTCCCCAAGGGGGGGGGGCGAAGGGGCGTTCGCCCCTGCCATAACAATTTTTAATGAATATAATTACCATTATGTCAACAAAATTATTATTAATACGTATAATATATAGATTTTAAAAATAAGTTCGCCCCCCCCTCCCCCTTAAAAACTGTCTAGGGACATCCCTGATTAAAATGTATGTAAAATATATAATAGTCAATCACGTTCCAATTTTATGGATTATTGATTTTTTTAAAACTACTTAAGCCAGTTGAGGTTACATATTAATCTCGTTAATTTCGTGAATACTGTTAAAAATGGCTTAACTTTTATTTAATTGATTTTGTTCCCGTTGCGTTTGTATATTTCAGTCCGTGTAAACAGGTAGCTTAATTAGAAATGTAAATTTCACGCATCATTTAAGGTTTTCTAAAATGTATACCTATTGTAAAATCTTACATATTTCGGTTTCTAATATGGGTCGGTAGAGTAAATCTCTATAGTATCTGATAGTGATTCCTATTCGTCAAAGGTAAGGACTATATTATTATATTATGTTATATTATATTATTATAATATGTTACAGTAAAACTTCAGTATAACGGAACTTCTGTAAGACGGAAACTAAAACCCAGGTAACATGGACAAATTCTTTGGTCCCAATTCAAATACATAATGAATGTGAACTACATCAAGTTGAAAAAATAAGGAATGATAAATAGCCAAGAGGTCGGACAAGTCAAGAAAGTTTAGCATCATATAATATATAAATTATAGGTGAATAGAGTAAATGGGCGAAGAGTGAACACAACAATGGTTGTTGCATAGACTGTAATAAAAATAACTGAAAAGATTTAGGTTAATTAATAATTATTATTTATTATTTATATCTTTAATATTATGAATGAATTTTGTTAAAACCCAGTAGTGCAAACATGCATATATAAATACATACATTTTGTTCAACATTAAACGTTAATACAAATTGATAAAAATAAACTCTAAACATAAAATTTGATTATAAAAATATAAATGATTACATTTATAGGTATTATAATATATGTACAAATAAATCAATATATTTAAGAGGATTGCAAATAGACAATTATTTAGAGTTCAATTTTGGCTTTTTTTTTAATTGAATGTAAGTCGATCTTGTAAATATCTGAGTGGTAAATGATTATTAGTGTGTGAATGTATTATAAAATTAATAACACCGTGTGCCTACGCACGTACATATCTACAAGTCATCACCACATCGTCATGCGTTTGAACAATAACAGATATAGTATGCTCATTTGCTTATATATTTAATAAATCCTACTGATGAAGTTCTTGAAACTGATTTGAATTTATTAATATGGCTACTAATTGAGATCAACCCTGGCACATAATAAGATTTTTAATTAAAAATATGAATAATCTATATTTATAATTGTAAAAGTTTCATAAGTTTTAAAATATATTCAAACCAAATTTTTAGGAGCTGGAGACAAACATTTTATAAAGTAGACTGATATAGATCTCAATCACACATAAAAGCAATTCATATCAATTTTCAAAAGTATAATTGAATGACAAAGTCAATCGGTATGATTGACAACAGATTCATTAATTTTGATTTAAATAACCGACTGTTTGCAATCCTCGTATTGTATTGTACTTTAGCAACGACATTTAAACATCTATTGATCATCCTCAACTCTCCATACCAAACTGTTTGCCAATAAAAGTTCATTCATACGATTTAACTGCATGTTCAAAGATTCAATTTTCTTCTGCCAAGAGTGTAATCGGTCTAGGTTTCGGTCTGTGCATAAAAATATCATTATAAAAAAATTATAGTACATAAAATGAACAAAAATGAGACTTACTTTTAAATGTTATTAAACTTTCTTTTTGATCAATTGTACCTTCTATGCGTCCTTCGGATATCATTCTTTCTGCTATTAATTCGGCTTTATATGGTTCAAATCCCAATAAATGGCCAAGTGACTCAATTTTTATATTTTTATGATGTATTCTGATTGATTGAATGTTATGTTCCGCTATGGCTTCAACCAATAGAGTGGTGCCTATAAAAAAATTTAAATATTAATTACAATGCGTTTATAATGTCTGTTACTGAAAAAATTACCATAATTTGTTTTGGCCTTCTGATGTGGCATCAGCAATTTTTCAATTTCATCAATTTCATGAGGCTTAATAATACGAACCAAGTACAGTTTTTCAAGAGTTGATAATCTTATGAAGAATAGACATCTTTTATCATTGAACAATGATTTCAACAACCTAGTTCGAATGCCTCCTACCACAAAAATCATAGATAAAATATTAGGAGGACATAAACTGGTTTAGGGACATATGTTATAATTGTCTATTATGATACAGAATGTTATAACAATATTATAAAAATATTAGTTGTTAAGATTAGAGCTTGTGCTGAAAAACAGTTGTTGACATCTTAATGTGAATTACAATTTTAAACAATTTTGTCAACATTTATTGTAGGTATCTAACTAACCGTATGTCTTAACTAGGTATATTTTAAATTCTCAACTATCAACCTACATTTTCACTCTCAGCATCCAATAATCATTATTATGAGTAGCTGCAGGGGGGGGGGGGTGCTATGCCCACGGGTATTTAAGTTAATATTAATTGTTTTATCACTTGTAAAAACAAAAAAAAGGATGTGATGTGTTATCAGAGATTTTTAACTTTGCCCCTCTCTCCCCGTTATAGTGGGACATATACAGTGGAATCACTGATGTCTGAAATATATAATGTCATAACTACAGCTTGGATGTTTATGACTGCATACTTTTTTAATACAACCAGAACTCTTTAGTCAAGTATGATATAAATTTGATTAAAAAAAATCTAGATTACAAATATGCAAACCTATTTTGCATTTTTTTTTTTTACATTTTTTAGAATAAAAAATACATATATTGATTATTTCTATGTTAAGTAACAAGCACTTATTTAATAAATTATAAGTTTAATATTAAAAATTGTAAATTTAGTAAATATGTAATGTTTTATTGCTTATTGCTATGTTTTATGCTTATTTTAATGAAATTTTGATTATTTACATCTGAGTTCCAGTCATATATATATAAAAATATTAAAATATACATCAAAATCCAACATAAATAAACTATGAACTGCATACAATTGACTAGTCTAGTGCTATTACAAATCTTAATGATAGAAACAGTAACAATACTATTGAAAATAACAGTATCACAATATTTGTATGAATACCAGGACACTATAAAAGAAAGGATGGACTTTGATGAAATGTGTAAATGGGTTATACAACTAACGTCAAGCATCAATTAAATATTAAAGGCTCATTGATAGTAAATTACAATTTACTTGGTTAATAACGTCTTATAAAACAAATTAAGAGACACCTACAATACTACAATAATGGTTCGATCCACCAACATGCAACAGAAGGGACAATTTGTGCAGAAAAGTACACGTCATTTCACCCATGGGCCATAAGGTACACTTATGAGAAACTACATTTTAACCTTGTGGTTTTCCACAAACTGAACATATTTAATAATTACAGAATACAAAAAACTACTCAACAAACAATTCAACAATTATTCATCTCCAACACCTAAATGAATCACTGAGACCTGACAAAGTCACAGTGATATAAATACTAGGTTCCTATACTTTTAACCAAAAAATAAATTTGTATAATTTTATTTAAAATAAGTATAATACTAGCACTAACCGAAACTGGCAAGGCGAAACTGGAGAAGCTTATTTTTAATAGCAAATGTTTCATAAGACTCGTACCAGATTCCATTAACGCTTACTTTTATATCTTACCTGCCAATGACAATATTGTACAGACCAACGTATTCTTCAATGCGGTCAAACGATCATTTTCTTTTAATTTTAAGCAGTTCGACAATTCATCATATGCTTGTGCAGCCTCAATAAATTTTAAACGGAAATCCAACATTCGTGCATAACAAACTTTATAACTTAAATGAAGATCAATATTTGATGTTTCAAACTGAAAAATTATATTCAAAATCATTTTATTATTAGGTCACTTTTCTGTTTGCATTCCACAATAATGCTGTGGTTCTTGAGCTTTGAAAGTTGCGGAACCTTATGATTTTGTAAGATTTTTGAAGATCACAGCCGTAAAATGAAACAATATTTATGTATTAGATATTGGGTAGGTACCTATATTTAAAATTACATATGTAGCAGTTTACAAATCACTTGATATAAAATTAAATAATTTTATAGATCAAACCAAGACAATGAAATTAAAAATTCTTCTTTATAGACGATTTTACATTTTCACTAATTTTCAAGGAACACTTTCTCTAAGTCACTCACAAATTCTGCAGAACACCAGTTAAGAACCACTGCACTTATGTAACATTTTCTATAGATATTAGGATAATATAATATATTTTGTATCTTAGGTGTTTGTATAGTAGGTACCTGTTCATAAACTAGTTAAAAAGTTGAAGTTAATTTTAACTTAACTGATTTGTATTGATATAAACGTAATAAACAACGAGTTAATTTTTAATCAAATCCAATTTTGTTCATTTATAAATAATTAAATAATAAATATAATAAAATTATTTTTGAAGATATATATTGCATAAACATTTACTTTTTATTGTTTTAAGCCCTATACTAGCTTCTTATATATTAAAAAAATATATAAATAAATCAATTGACTTAAGTTAATAAGTTAGTTATAAGTTTTCAAATAACTTTTAACTTAACTGAGTTTAAACAAAAATTAGGATAACTATTAACTTTAAAGTTCTTAAAATGTTTTTTATCAGCTTAACTTAACTTAGTTAAAAGTTATCATTAACTTGTCCAGGCTTGGAAGGTACCAAAGATACATACAACAACTTTTTATAAATCGACATCAATGATACGAAGGAGACGGCTATAGATATCTAGTTGTTGTATAATACGAGTATATAGTTTTATTACTCTATGAGTATGTTTCTATAGTGGGTACTCGGTATATCGATATTGAATAAAATAATAATATTAAATATTGATATCATAAATTCATAAAATGATAATAAAAATAAAACGATATCTTGATCTTAATCTGTAGTTTTAACTATTATTTTTACAATTTAAAACTTAAGTAGTATTATAGTTATATCAATTAAGTAAGCGTCGAACAAAATATAATTTTTATTTAAAAAGAAAATTAATAATTTTAGTTTACAGTGGTACAGTTCTATTATAGCAATGGGTGTTAAACTTAAATTGTACTTTTATTGCATATAAACCATACCTGCAATACTGAAGCTTTTTTGACGTAAGGCTCTGCCAGCAATGGATCATCATCTTCCATGTAAAGACGTGCAATTTTCATGTATAATTCCAATTGATAATCAACAGAAAATCTTTTAAAACATTTTAAGCTTTTAATATAACGATATAATATATTTAGGTACTATGATAAATCAATAAGAAAAACATTTATAGTCACCTAAAATACGATTCTGCTGAGATGCTGGCCAGCCAATTGCCAGCTTCCTTCCAATTTTCCTCTTTCTCGTAAATGCACGATAAATGATGACAGACAATGGACAAATGATATTCAAAATGAACCACCCTAGGTTGCATCTAAAATCAAATCAAAAGGTCAATAATTTTTTTTGCAAACTCAATTATAGGCATTTGCAGTATAGAAGTGTTATCCTAACTTCTTTTTGCATGAACTGAGCTAATAGCTTAGACTGCGCATCCGGCAACCAGGGCAAGATTTGCATACAGAAGTCGGAAAATATCTGTCTGGATACGAACAATGTGATGTTATCCTGAGCAACTGAAATCGAAAACATCAAAACACAAGATAGTGGTATTGCTGAGGTAAAAAGTGAATACATTAATAGTTGAATTAGCTCGGACATTGTGTTAACCTTAAGTCCTTAGCTTATATTTACTGATATGTATAGACTAAAATATTATGTAAATCACTTACGGAATTCGACAACTTCTTTCAAAATTTCTACCGAATTGGTCAACCATGTTGAAATTATGTTGTTCAATAAAATTCTACACCTACAACAATCGATCAACAGTGTTATTATTGTTATTGACATTGGTTTCGTGTATCCGCAGAAGACATGAAGATATAAACGATCAATTGTCAAATCCTCCTGATACCTAGATACGTATGAAAAAATATTATCTCACCTGGCAATTCGTTGAATGTCAGACGAACACGAGACTAAGATGCGATTCAATTCATCGCGGACTTCATCGGCGGCGATGGTCATGATTTTCATTCGACCACGTACAAAATGCAATAACAGACGAAAATACGAGATTTGGATGAGTGGACAATAACGACGATTTTACGTGATCTTCTGTGACAATTTATTGTGATGTATTGAGTTGTCGTGGGACGAAGTGGGCTGGGGGGGAGGGGGGGGGGTCGTGCGCGCAGGCGAGTGTTCGACGTTTTTTAAGGAAAACACAATTGCAACGGTGACGCCCGGACAAGAAACGAGCGTATTGAGAACACAGCTGATGTTAGGTAAACAGGTGAAGTCGACTTGAACTTAATTTAATTTTACGAATAGATCAAGTTCAAAACTATACAAAAACTATCGTTAAACGGGATTGGTGGATGTCGGTAAGTATGGTGACCGTGCAACTGTGAGACTGCGAGTGTGTGCCGGCAACAGGAAATCGGGATTTCGACACCCGACCTCTTCCTGTAGGCGAACGGTTGAACTGAACTGACGAAGATAAATATATAATAATGTATGATAAAAATTAATGACGTTAATTTATTATAGTTCTAACCGATAAGCAGCTGTTAAGACACAGTATATTATAATATTATGTTATATGTTATGTTATACATTATATTATGGTAGTTGTACTTATCCACGGCGGCGACCAACCGGTCAAAGGCCAAGGTCCGACCGACCCGGGCGCGCTACGTGCTTATCTGAATAGTGAATAGTGTGTTTATCTGAATTCTGCAGGGCACAACGACCACCGACAAAGTCCAGATGGTACTACCCTGCTCCGTTGATCAGACGTTTAAATTAGGTCCTATAGTGAATTTTATTTAGGAACTTTTATTTTACTATTTTCGCATTTGATGACATTTATATTGTACTATATTGTATTTAAACACGATTCAATTTACTCCAGATTTTTATTTTTAAGTATAACAATCCTATTTACAAAAACAAAAAAATTGGTAAAATCACTCGGAAGAATTGGTTGCTACTCTAAATTAGTTTTTACCGATAAAAATATTTCTTCATCAAGCAGCCTGAAGTCGTGTAAATAATATGCTTTTAGGGTGTGAATATAGGACTAAATATTTTAGTATTAATGAACTATCAAAAGGAATGGCCGTGACCAAAATAATTAATGCAGCGATAAGAAAACTCTCGGAAACATTTCCAAATTTAGGGTGGAACATTTTCTCTAACATCTATGTTCCGCTGAACACTGGTTAAGAACCACTTTAGATTAAAATGATCGACATCAGTACATTACTATTTTATAATTATTTTTTTAATTAAAAAAACTTGAATACCTATAAAAATATAAAATTATTAAAATTATTAAAAAAAATAAACCTTCTATATTAATATATTTTTTTTGAGGTACAATTTTTACCATTTTATTTTGAGATACAAGGTTCTTTTCCTCGTGACAGAATGACTACAACTTTATTAGCTATTGCCCAACATTTCTTATTTTCATCGTAACATCAGAGTTCCTTTTGAGCTCATGAAGAAATTAAATGTATTACTGGGTTTTGCACGCCATTATAATAGTATAAACTATAAATATTAGGTATAAGATAAATGCTTCAATTAAATCATGATATCTACGAAATCTTATGTATACCTACATAAAGCTGAAACATGTTCCAAATTTTCCAACAGATATTATTTACTAAAATACAATATAAATCTACTTAATTTTTCAATCATGTAGAGCGCAATAGTTACATAATGACATATTAATATTTGGTACGTATTTTTTTTAAATACATTCCTAATTATTATAACATTTCTGAGAACAAACAATAAAAATAATAATTTGCTAGAAACAATTTGCATTCGGTTATTCGCTTCCCTAGCTCAAATACGTAATTTTATGGAATACTATAGATAATAATACATCTTAATGCTTGATGTTCAAATAATGCTCATTTAGTATAGATACCATTACAATATTGTCAATATTTAAACTCTTTTTATTTTATTTAGAATTTAAATAAAATATTGAAATCTGTATATTTTCTATAGAGTTACACGTTAATACAAGTACACATGTTAACTATGTTTTACTAATTATTATAATACTTATTAAGAATAAAATTTAAACTGTTACTGGTTAGTGGTTACCTAATACTGATCTTATTGCTTGTAATTTTTTTCACACTTATCTCTATTCCATTTAGTTGGCTTCTTTTCTAATTAAGTATTTTTTAGTGGTAGCAGAAGTACCCATCGATACCTTCGTTATAGCGACACCTGTATGTCAATATTATGAAATTAATAGTAAAGTATAAATGTTTAGTAAAACTTAGTATCTTAGTAGGTACTCACATGTATACTTACAGAGGAAGTGTTACCTGCTTTCTCTATTTTTTCTATTATAATTTGTCTACCTATTCAAAGTGTGATTTTTGAAATTGTTTATTGAGCACAGATACCTACTTTAATATCCTATTTTTGAATACTTAAAATAATTTAGTTAACTTACATAGCCAGTTTGTTTAATAGTTCCGATGTGCGATTGAAATTATTCCCACTCGAGTATATGTTATGACATATAGGAAATTAATTTTTATTTTAGAATTTTTACTTATCAAAAAAATCCTTTGGTCGTCATTCATCACTATAAAAAGTAACATAACAGAATACATCTAAATAGGTACCTAATATTATTTAGATTTGTCAATTTTAGAAAAATACCTTAAAATTAATAAAAACAATATAATTAACTATTTGATGATTTGTATATTTATTTGCAACGGCTTCATTTTCAATGACCGTCTCAATTGGAATACATACTTATTTTCGAGATCGTTCTCTAAATAAATTAATGTAAAAAATAATTGTTTGGCAAGTAAACTATTTATTTTTTATGAAATAATGATATACTTTTCTCTATGAATACGTATGGTTTAACCATAATGGTTGTTTTGTTATGAATTCATAAATATTATATTCATACTAATTAATTGGAATAAAGTGATTAGGTCACTGAAATTTCGTCCACTATTTAAGGTTTAGCTTATAGAAAGTTTTTAGGTAGATTTTCCCCAAAAAATAGTCCACTATTTGGAGGTGTCCAATTTTTAGATGTGGCCGCTAGATGAGGTTTTACTGTATATTATGAAAAATTAACTAAAAGGGCCTTAAGTGCATTATGCTGAACTTTAAGAATGCATAGAACATTGTTAAAACAGCGTATTAGGTGTACGTGTGACATTGAAAAGTGACTATTACTTTAATAATTATAGTGCGATTAAGTGCAATATCACAGATATTAAGGCATCATAAATCCATCTGTAATTTTCAAATAATTATTTAACTGTTTTATTAGTTTGTATTATCATATTATTAAATATAGGTATTTTATTTTTCATAGGCATCAGTAAGAACTAAGGGAGCAACTACTTTATTTTTTAAACATAATGTTCGTGAGTTGTGACAAACCATAACTCATGAGTAATTATATTAATTTTCAATCCCCCCCCCCCACCATCGAAAACTCCTGCACATGCTACTGGCGGCCAGTAGGTATAAGAAAAAAATTATATATAAGTATAATAATGCACAACTATCATTATTGTTGTTTTGGCACTCGCATATAGCAGAGCTCGTATACTTTCCGGATTCGGGATAAATGGATAAATGTAGAGGAGGTAAACTCTATTATTACTTGGGTTCACGACTGCGTTATAATATATATATATATATCATATATTATATGATATATTGGCCACAATAATATGGCGTAATAGTAAACTAACTGCAGTTTGGTACGGATAATATTATAAAGACTCCCGTGTAATGTGTTTATAAAAAAAGGGTAGGGTCAAGATAAATATTAATCATTAAATGTAAGTATATTATTATACACGATAAAGTTATGTGTATAACCATCAATATTAAGCGTGCATGTGTGCGTGTGTTTTGTACGTCGTACAGTGATACAAATTACGTTTTCGAATGTGTCTTTATCAAAATAACAAACTGCTTCATATGTTCGGTATCATATTAATGGATTTTACGCGACTGATACAATTATAATATAATGCCACCCTATAATGACGCGTCATTCCACATTTGTACGATACTTAAGAAGACCCTATAATATAACGATATTATAAGCAGGGTCGGAATGAGTTTAAACATGTGTTTAAAACGTTTTAAACAAGTAGTTATATTTAAATTATTTTATGAATACGCGTTTAAAAGTTTTAATCGACGTTTAAACAATAAAGTTGTTTCGTAATTATTTCCATGAAATATAAATTTTATCTGTAGATCTCGATACCTACATACCGTTAGAATTTCAATTTAATTCTTAAAATTGTGTGGGATAAAAAAATGTCTGAGAGCACTCATACCCACCCACAAACATGTTTCCATATATTTATATTTTTTGTATAAAATGTTTAAAACATTACAAAAAAAGGTTAAGAACAAAAAAACATATTGACCTAAACGGATAAATCATTTGTATTGCAGTACCTATTATTGGTCATAACTCATAATACTTGGACACGCTTATACACATATTTTATAGCACATCAGCCCGCGGGTTTCCAGTAACCCACAACCTGACTTTTTCAAATTATGTTTTTTACTTGATATTGTATATCTTTGATTTGTAGCATTGCGAGTTCCATGACTTCAGTTCGTGTGTCTAATTGCTGGCATTTTTAAAAACAAAAATATCCCATCATAACTTACCAAAACTCATAATATTAATGCAATGCTCTGTTTTTTTTATGTCAATTGTATGTATTTTATCGTTTAAAAGTTGTATTAATACTAATATTCGATAACCATAGTGTTGCTGTACAGCTCGGTGTGTATTGTTATTATAAATATATATTATACGTATATATATATTAATACCATACCCTATTTCAACCCCTTATAGCTTTTTTTTAGTATTAAAAAGTAGCCTATGTCCTTTTTTAGTGTCTAAACTATCTATGCACTAAATTTCATTTAAATCGGTTCAGTAGTTTCGGAGCCTACAAACAATCAAATCATCCTTC